TCGGCGCTCGAGTCGCTTCAGTATCGGCGACGGCTCAAGTTTCAATTCTTATCGTTTGTCCGCGATTAACGAATCATCGTTTCATCGCGATGCCCATTAGCCGGACGATTCGATTATTGCGTCTGTCAGAGTTCAAGCGTCGATGCGAACGCTTTATGGCGAATTTCACGAGCGACTACTACCGTTGGCAGTAAAGGATTCGCGCGCGCGGGGATGAGGAAGATTTAATACTTATCTAACGCCCATTATACGCCGAGCTTCCTGTTCGCGCCATGGACGCCGCGGTATTTGCAAACGAACGGTGATGGCGATGGTCGAGATTATCCAAGTGCGCCATTGCGAAGAAATTAATACGCTTTAATCCCGTGCCTGAAACGTCGAATTCATTATCGAGACACGTCGCTTGAAATTTAGTCACGCCGGGGCTGCCGAGTCGCTTTTGACTCACAGTCTCTACTTCCTCCTCCCTTCCTGATTATATTGTATAAATGTCGATGCTTCTCTTTCGCTATTATTCTTACCTCCTCTCTCCAACCTATTACCTATCCTTCTTCTCTATTCCTCTTCTCTTCGGCTGAAATATTTCAATTGCATACGACAGAATTTTTTGTGCGATTCCCGATTCGTCGATCCAGTCACGTTGGGACTGCTCGAGGGTGAATCGTCTCTCTCTCCAGCCAGCATCCAGGATGCAGTCCGGCGCGTTAATGCAACGGACGCGTTGTCATCGTCACCCAGTATATGTCTCGCGAAGGAAGTGAGTAACAAGAAGAACCGGTCGACTGGCACATAACCGCTTCGTATCCGTCATTTTTCCTTAGCTGATATACCTGCTCCTCCCCTCCCGGTCTCTCAGTCTTTCTCTCCTCCTCCCTCCCTCTCTCTCTCTCTGTCTCTCTGTCTCTCTCTCTCTCTCTCTCTCTCTCTCTCTCTCTCTCTCTCTCTCTCTCTCTCTCTCTCTCTCTCTCTCTCTCTCTCCCTCTCTTTCTCTCTCTCTCTCTCCCTCTCTCTCTCTCTCTCTCTCTCTCTCTCTCTCTCTCTCTCTCCCTTTCCCTCGTGTCTCTGCTCGCCCGTTCTGACTTTCCTTCGCTGATCCACCGCGTGAATGTCACGTTGGCATTTTGCAACGAGTCACTAATAACCCGAGGTTACTACTGCCTTAATAATTCTCCCATTTTGCGCGGGAGAGAAAGACGAAGCGATATATCTCTGCGATATTCAATCGCAGCGCACGAGGGATCATCTTACAAAGAGGAATCAGATACTATTTTTCGAAGGTGACCTACTCAGCTAGTTCTATCGGCAAAATCGACGAAAAATTAACCAATATTTTTCCGTTCATTTACACCTTTCAGTATCCAACGATGTTACTACCGCGGAAAAGGACTTTGTACAATAATTAATGAGCAGAAAATAAAATGATCAATGTATCGACAGAAGCCGGAGCGATTTCTTGGTGTCTCGCTGAATCGCAATTGAACTGCAATTTATCGCTACAAATTTCAGCACACTGAGGAGATGGGAAAACGATGTATCCGTTTATCGAGAGTGCCGCGCAGGGGAAAATAAATCTCGGTTTGTGCGCACAGGATGGGGAGTTTGCTGGAAAGTCTGTTATCGCGAGCGAGAGCATTCGTCCGAACATTTGGCCGCGTTGCAACTCGATTGGGATGACTGGGAACAATCGACTGGATCGGAGTAGACGTTCCGTGCTGCGAAATCGAATTCTCGTCCGGTCGGCGGGCAGCTGAAAATCGGAAAATCAGTTGCACGACAGCCCCGCTCTCCCTCTCTCTCTCTCTCTCTCTCTCCGTGAGGCATAAAAAAACCAGCCGAGTGCCTAGGAACGATTGAAAAACGTGCCACGTGATATCTTATCGCGGTGTCCGATTAACAGGTCGCGCAAAGCGGTACACGCTGCGCTCCCGCGCGCACGCCAGGGGGGGGGGTAAAAGGCTTTCGGTGTTTTTCGAGCGGTCGTGAAACTGGATCGATCTCGCAACTCGGCCAAACGCGCGCGCCAAGAAACGAGGCGTTCGCAGAGGAAAGAGGAGAGGAAGAAGAAGAAGAAAAAAGCACGAGAGAGAGAGAGAGAGAGAGAGAGAGAGAGAGAGAGACAAGCCGCGAGAGGTGAGGCGCGATTGCTCGATCCGGTTACGTCAGGGCGTATCTATTTCGGCGAGTTCCCCGGCGCGAATCGGTCGACGTGCTGGTGACATGCATCGCGGAAACGCCACTTGCCATGTCGGTGAGTCTCGCGAGACGCGCGCAAAGGTCACGGGGGGGGGGGCGGGGAGGAGGTCCGTCGAGGAAATTCGCGGCGCCGCGCTCTCGCGGAAATTAGCCGATTTGCAATTTTCCGGCGAGCGAGCGTGAAAACGAGCCGAAGGAAACGCCGAGGAGGGCATGGAGATGGTGGGAGAGGGCGGGGAGCGAGAGAGAGAGAGAGGGACGGAAAGAGGGGAGGGAGGCAGGAAACGGGGGAAGGGGGAGAGAAAGGGACCAGCTCGTGTCGTTGCACGCGAGTGCCGCGTCGTCTCGGCGCCGCGGAGCCGCCGAGCTAGGATATGCGATTAGGATACCGCCGCCGTTGTGCGTCGACGGAAGATAGGAAAATGGGGGATAGGGGGGGGAACGCAGAGACACGTAACTCCCGACAGGTATGATTTGCATTCGGCCGCTTCTGGAGCCAGGCTCTGCGCCGGCGCGGCGATCCTGCACGCATGACTGGCCCGAGCGCGACCGGGCACGTGCGTACGCGAAACCGTAACTTCATCGTGTGTTAATAAAACGCCCGGCGGTGGATAATAATCCGGAATGTACGCCCGTCGATACGACGGCCGTACGTATTAAAATTGCCGGCAAGCAATGCGTAACAACATTGCGAGTGGCGAGTTCCGCCGAGTGAGAGAGATCCGCGGCGTCGGATAAAGCATATCGAGTGCGACACGAGAAGACGCCCCGGATTACGCCGGATTAACCGGCAATTCTCATAAAGCGCGCGGCTGGTCACCTGTCTCGGAAATTGGGATAGTCCTTTGGACAGTCGGAAAGATAATGGCCCGTGATTGTGACAGAAAGTCACCGGAAGCAGCGGTCGCGTCGAGACGTCGTTAAACACCGCGATGAGACAGATCGTAGGTATGCCGAGAGTTTCGAGATTCTTGAGATATCGAGATCTCGACGATCGACTTCTGTCATCAGGAGCATGAGAATGCTCGACGTGAAGAAACAGACGCGAAGACAATTATCAGCGGAGAGATGCGATGACTCTCGATCCGAAGCAATCGGAGCTTTTCGGATTGATCAATCTCGAAATGCTCCGATTAATTTCTCTCTCATGATCGGTAACTCTGATCGTTTCTCAAATGGTCAACCATGTACCAGCAGCTCGACCATTAGCTCCGTCACGATCGCGCGAAACAGCTGCCGGAATAGTCGCCGGAGCGCAACACCCCGGGACGTGATTCGAATTGACGTTTCTCGCCAGTCACCACTGATAACAACACCGCGCGGTAAAAGTCGGACAAAAGATATTTTCCAGACGATTTGTCAAGCCCGACGCGCGCGCTTACGTAAACGCTTTCTCGTCGCCGCCCGCCGGTGTTTACCCGCGACGAGTTTGTCTCGGCTCGAAAGTGTAGCGATAAGGTAAGAGCGCACAGGCTTTCGCATAACACACAACACATAACGCACAAGAGAACAAACCAATTAGTTGTCTTCATTTCCCTCCCTCAGGATAGAAATGAAGAACTTTGATTGGTTGATTCTCTTATGCGTCGTGTATTATGCGTTATGCAGAACAGGTCTGTGTTCTGAGTCCGCGCGCGATTATCGACGCTCGCGAATGTCGATTGCTGGTTCACACAGACGAGATGGCGTGCGCTCGCGTGTGCTACGCCGATGTCTCGTAATAACGACAGCCGCACAAATTACGGACGGGGATCCCCCGGCTGTATCCACCTCGCGGGAGCTCCCCCCTCAGCAGTTCGCGTACGAGCGAAATGAAGATATCAGGGCCCGCTCCCTTGCCGTGTCCCGTCACGTCGACCTTTATAAGACGCCCTTTAAACTTGGCGCACGTGAGAGAGCAGCCGCGTAGCTTCAGTGATTTCGCAGTGATGCTTTCCATAATTGCTCGGGGCGGGGGGAGGGATCGGTAAAACTCGTGAGAAATGAGAGTTGCGCTTTAGCGTTTACCGTATCTCGTAATAACACGTTGCCGATGCCGTGTCTTCGGCCAAGTACCAGGCCTCGGCTTTGTAGGTTGCGTGTTGCGTGTACGCGCCAGAATCGGCTTTATCCCCCCCAACTCCCACGGGAATTTTCCAATTTTTCTCTACGCACTCCCTTGCTGACTTTCATACGCGATACGCGATACGCGCAAAGGTCTCGCCAACGAACAACGCGTCATCCTCGAGTCATCCGCGAGAATGCTCCCTTTTCTCTTGATCTCATTCTTGTATCTTTCTCGTACCAACACAGCGGATACACATCCGAGTTCCGAACGCAGCCCAGGGTGATTTGGAGACGCCTGATGTGTGGAAACGCAGTCAAAGGGAACAGCCGAATAGCTGATTAGAATTCAGTGATAAGCGCAGCGATAAGCGGAAAAGCGCTCGCGCACATCGCGTTGAGTCACGTCAATTTTAGGCTTGCGAAAAGCGATACGAAGCACAAATAAATCTTACAGTCACGAAGCGCTGTCGAGGCACGCTCGCGCAACGGCACTCGCGCATGCGTTTTTTCCCGACGCCGGGCTTCGAAAGGCAGCCAACGTTCAATGGGAGAACGCGTTTCCCAGAGGAAAAATCCCCTCGTTGGATACGCCGGCTGCATTCCGAAGTGCATCCGAGAAGAACGTGCGTTGCCTGCAGCTTGGACCGTCCGTTTCAGACCGTTTTAGACCTTTCGGGGAACGGCATCCGAGCCGAACGGTCGGCAGGTACGTTCACGCGCTTCGGCGCGTCCCGAGTCAAGGAGAGACATGTGAAACTTACCATGACTGGTGCACGTGTGCGCCTATATGTCACCTAATGCCGCAATTGGACGTCCAGCAGGTGCATGTCTACGAGAGGAGAGGCGGCCGGCGTAGCAACAATCGGAGCAGCGGCGCCGGGACGAGAGGAAAACACTCGCGCTCGGCTGGAAATCGGCTGTCCGTCGCTCTTTCTCTCTTTCTCGCCGAGTCGTTGCACCCTGCACAGTCAGCACGGATCACCATACGTAAACACACATACGCACAAACGCCTGTCGCGAAAACGCGCACCTGCGTGTACGTACGTACGTGCGCGCGTGCGTGCGTGCGTATGTGCGTATGCGCGTGTGTACGTGCGTGCGCGCGCGCGCGCGCGCGTCTTCACTTTTTCCCATACACGTGGACACAGTACCTAGCACGTCTATTTCCCGGTGTTTCCCGGATTTCCCGACGGATCCCCTACGGCCGAGCGAGGACTGCTAGCCGAGGTGCCGCCGCGAGGTGACGAGCGACATCGGCTACCGGAGAGTTCGGCGAACCGGCCGGCACCATCCCCTGGGCAAGAGCGACGTACTCGCGAGCGAGCGCGCGCGCGCGCGTTTGTTCCTACTCACTGAAGTAAAAAAGAAGAGCGGATTTCGCACGTGCGCGCGCGCGCGCGCGGGGCTGCACGAGGATGGCGTGTGGCCGGGCTGTGTAATACAGTTACGCGACGTAAGAAGGGCAAGAGAAGCGACGGATTTTCAACTTGGCGGACACCGACTGAGCCCACGACCGGCAGGTAGGTGAGTCGTCGCCCCTCCACCAGGTCGATGCCGCACCACCACGGCCGCTCACCGTTCTCCATTCTCATTTCCTTCGCTTCACTTGCCCTCACCTCCTTCTCCTTTCCTTCTTCGGCCTCCTTCGCTCCTTTCGTCGTACGAGCGCGCTTCCCGCGGTTTCCCGCAGAGACGGCTCTACGCGCTGCTCGAACTGGGTGATGGTGCATTGTGTGTGAAAGTGTATGGCGATGAATCCTCGGACGTGCTCGCCCCTGCCATCGCGCTCTCTCTTCTGTCCGTCGTCCGTCCGCTCGCTTCTCCCGTCGCTCCTCCGTCGCGTTACGAGCTCGACGACGATGGTGCATTTTGCAGAAGCCTCGTCGGCGTTATAATTCGCGTTAGATTATAATAAACACTTTTGCGCGTCTGCAGAATCCTCGCTTTTGAATCACGATGAGGAATCGCATGCGCGACGTCTCAAATATTAGGCATATTCATCGAGGATCCCATCAAACGCCATGAAACGCGTCAAAGAAATGTACAAATTCGTATGATGAAATATTTCTCCGGTATATAGATTCTGCTGTTGTAAAATGCCTCGACGCGATATAAGATCGAGGCATTCACTTCGAGCTATGGTCAACTGTAGCTCGTTATTTGCAGAGGTGTTTGCAACGTGTGTGCACAAGGGTTTCATATTGAACTTGTACGATTTCGCTAGAAAGCTTCGCACGTGGCAGAAGATATCAATAAATGTTCTTGTCGAAATCTCCTTGTGCATACAACGGTCCGTATAAACAATTGCCTCGCAGCATTCATTAACAGTAAATATTGGGTTGTTCAATAAATTCGTAGGGATCTTTGTGATCGGTTCGAGGGGGATACTTTTATGAATAGACGTGACTTTATTTGATATTGTATTTCGACTGTTTTTTCGACGACGACGGGTCGTCAAAGAAGAACGAGAAAAATTAAGCGCTTGATTATAGAGGTATCAGTTTTGAGTTTCTTGCAAGAATCCGTAAGAACTTATCAAAGAAACCCAGCATGTTTGCTTGAGGCACCGGGAACTATAGCGCCGTGTCTGTTCCCCTCTCTATCATCGCACTACCGTGACTTATTAAAGCACAAGCAGCGGATCATAATCATTGTGTTTTCAAGTTGCGTGATTGGCGTTAATGAGATTATGTCCTGTATAATCATGTATCTTTCGATGAAGGATCATCGCATTCGGATTATGTAGCGTTATGGATAATAATATATAAATGTAGCAATATATCTCACGCCAAAATAATTTAACACAGAATGCAGAATAAAAAGTAGAATCATACTGTAGATAGTTAGAGGAGTATATGTGGTACGATATGCAATTTACAAAATTTACAAACATTTTGATATTAATGTGTCGAAAACTCATTAAAAAAATGAGAAGCGTAATCTCTCTGTAAGTAGGTCAACTGATTTACATATAGCTTTGAAGTGTATATGATTATTTTATATAAATCGTATGTATTGGTAAGTAATGGCGATAACAGGAGGGAAACAAAGGTTCTTATTATTTAAAAAAAAAAAATATATATATATATATATAACTAATTTTTATTCTATTGGTGTCTCTACGAGCGATTAATGAGACGCAATGACAGCCTCTTGTGTATCTTCTTTTTCTCTTTTTTCTTCTTCTTCTTCTTCTTCTTCTTCTTTTACGGCTATTTTATCTGTCGATAAATACTGCTCAAATTCAATTTTACACATTTCTGGCAAGGGTAGACTCATAAGGCGGACTCTGTTAAAGTATAATAACTTCATGATTATAAAACATCTAAGAATGCTATCGTCATTTTAATACATGTAGTGTTTCAAATCACCTTGTGATGAAAGGTCCCGGCCGATGTGGCTTCGCATCGTTAATATCAGTGATAACAGCAGCGAGATTTTCTTCCAACTGTTTCACATCCATATTAAGCTGAAATCGTCACACAACAAATTGATCGACGATTTCGAGTTGTTCAACTGATGAGATGTATAGTTCATACGATACATTTGCGATATTGAAAATAACATAAAACTATACAAATAATTTCAGAAATAATATATAACATAAAGAATTTACCGTCCCGAATATAACATCAGTTGTGCCATAAGACTTTAGCAGGTCGTGTGGTTTTACTGTATACTTCACACCATTTAGAAATTTCATAACAAGCGCATTTATATCATTACCCAAAGTACCTAATAAAGTATAAATCGTATGATATATCACAGAAATGATCCCAAAATTTGTTTACTACATATTTCTACTTACCCAGTTTAGTGCTAGGAAATTTTCTTTTCAAAATGCCTCTAATTAATAGCAAATCTGGTAACAAACTTGGTTCTGATATAATGATATCATATTCCTTCACTGAGAAAACTCCTTGCTAAAATAACATATAGATTCCGTGAGCAATGGATTACTTAAAAAATGTAATCATTACATAATTCCATATGTATGGTTTGCACTACTTATAGCTATTTTAATATCTTATAAAAACGATAATATATATTTTCATATACCTGAGCCTGTTTTATTAACTCTTTACCACCACATAAGTGGGCACCAGTGTCTCTCGCAAGATCTTGCATTTCAGGACTTTTGCAAAATGCCAATATTTTCCTCACTTGGCCATGTTCAAATTTATTTGGTATACATGCTATTTTTGAGAAAGTCTCAACAAATTTTGTTTTTTTCACACCCTAATAAGACACAATTTTACATGTATATGCATAATGAGTGATTCAAATATATATATATATATATATATTTCTTCCTACCTGCATATCCAATTCTATAAATGCTTTTATAAATGCATTTGGTGAGTTATGCATAGTGGGGTGATGCATTTCACGATGAACCTGCACCGCTTCTTCGAATGAATAGACTTTCCATTTATGTTGATTTATAATCCATACATTATCTACTGCTTCACTCTTTTTACTATCATTTTCTGCGATATCTTCCAAGGATAAGATCTTCTTTTTTTTAGCCACACTATTGGAAACAATTGAGAATATAGAATGAATATATAGAATAAAACGTAAACAATTCAGTTGTAAAGTAAAAGATATAATGATATTATTCACAACTGTTATATAAATAAAATACTTACTCTTTTGCTGCTCTCAAGTTATGTGGAATAAAGCCCACTTTCTCAATGACTACCTTGACTTTTTTCTTCCTGGCTTTTTCTCTGGTACCTTTCCTCGCAGCATAATTCCGTGATTGTAAAAAACTAATAGAGAGGAAATTATAGCTTGTCACATATTTGTAACTCAAAGAGAGATTATTTAGTAGCCAGCCTGTAAGAGACACAACTTCTTTTTAGACGTGACAAATATAACACTATTTTATTCTAAAATATAACACTGTTCTATCTAGTCAAGCAAATAACAGATATGAGAGGTTATACACATGAGAACCATTTTACAAAGACACTTGTTATAGAGATCGTGTCATCATGCTTGTTCGTCAATAACGATCAACAAGATCAGTAAAATTTTAGTGTGTGATTATTCTGATACACAATATTATTAAAATATTTGAAGAATTTGGATAAAGCATATACCTCCAGTAGCTACCGCCATGTTTCATCAAACGGATCGGAGTTAACGGGTCGTCTGAACCACGATCTATCGATAGATGTTTCATAGAAAAAGTTCAGTTGTCTTTTCCTTGTTTTCAAATAATGAATGAAATTTCATTGAATTCGTCGAATTACGTTATTTCAAAATGAAAAAATTCCTTACTTATCCACCGAGATAATATCAGCAGAGAGAAGCCTGAGAGCGGCCACGCCGGCGTTTTTGGCGACATGCATTTTGATGACTGATTTTAACACCATCTGCGCCCATTTGTAGCCGGGAACTACGTTGACTACGCCCATTTGCAGACGCTGCCGGTAAAGTCTCTATTTGGTGCGTGTCCGTTCTACGCCCATTTACTGGCGGTTCGTGTCTGTGGTACGCCTATAATTGCGGGTTTGAGAAACACGGCATCGCGCACAAACTTACACCTCGTTCAACAGCCTCATGATTCTTTTTCTGTACATATGCATTTCTATACATATTTGATAGGTATTGATCAATCTTCGATTTTCGGTACTGATTTACTTTCTCATTTCGTTATAAGACAAGAAAAATTGATACGAACCGTTCGTTTATCCGAGTTAATTTGTTGAGTAAATTAATGGGGTAAGTAAACCTAAAAAATGAGAACAAATTGTCATTGTACTTGGACAATTTTCTGACACTGATTTACGGTATTGATCGATATTCGATTTTCGGATTTACTCTTTCAATTTCTCTATAAGAAGAAAAAATTCATACGAATCGTTCATTTATCCGTGTTAATTTGATGAATAAGTTAAATATTGATCGGCCTTCGATTTCGGTACTGATTTACTCTTTCATGTCTCTATAAGAGAAAAAAATTTGATACGAATTGTTCGTTTATCTGTGTTAATTTCATGAATATATTAGATATTGATCGATCTTCGATTTTTGCTACTGATTTACTATCTTATTTCTTCATAAGAGAAGGAAAATTGATACGAATCGTTTGTTTATTCGAGTTGATCTGTCGAATAAAGTAGAGGGGTAAGTAATTGAGAATTGGAAACAAATTGTCATTGCACTTTGACAATTTTTCGACATTAATTTACGATATTGATCGATATTCAATCTTCGATATTGATATGGATAATATTTTTCTACTGATACTGATTTACTCTTCTTTCACTTCTGTATGAAAGAAAAAGGGAAATTGACACGAATCGTTCGTTTATCCCAATTACTTGTTTGAATAAATTTTAGAATTGAATAAAATTTAAAATTAATAAAAATTTAGAATTGAATAAAGTTTTGGATTGAATAAAGTTTAGAATTGAATAAAGTTTAGGATTGAATAAAGTTTAAAATTAAGTAGCAATTATAATACGTCCCGTCTAGTATGTGATTTTCGATATTAATATTGATAATATTTTGATACTAATTTATTGATACTAGTTTATTGTCTCACTCCTCTATAAGACAAGATGAAGAACATGAAGGAGAACTGACGCGAATCGTTCGTCTATTAGAGTTACTTGCGGTTGAATAAACTAGCCCAGAATTAAATAGCAATTATAGTACGTTTCGTCAAGTACGTAATTCTCGATACTGATTTAGTCTCTCTCTCTCTCTCTCTCTCTCTCGTTTCTCTGTGAGAGAAAATGAACAATTAACACAAATCGCTTTTCTATCCGCGTACTTGGTTGAATAAACTAGCTCAGAGCCAAATAGCAATTATAATATCTCGACGAATACGTGAATTAATTCCTCGACCTCGATTCCGCCTTGAAACACTGCGAGAGAGAGACAGTTTCCAGCGGCATAGTTTGACTGTAAACGCGACTCGCGTATTCGATTCCGAATCAAAGGTACGAATGGTAAATTAGCGCGCCGAGAGCGACGCGTCGCGTCGCGTCGCGCTAATGTAAGGACAATCGGCGGTATTATGCGGGCGCGGCTCGCTCGCAGGGAAACGCGTTTTGGATGATTGTCGAGGCACGGACGATACGTACGTGGCGTAAGGCCTGCTTCCGCGGCGCAGTAACAACAACAACGACAACGAAAAAGTAGTTTGCGCCAGATATTTAGGTCCGGACTGCACTCACATTCGGATTAATTAAAGCAGAGGCAGCACGTGCACGCTGCTCGGCCTCCTATCGCGTGCAATTGCGATTTCTTGGTGGCGCTCCAGCTTTGTTCGAGCGTTGTTCCGCGTGATCGGAACATCGAATAATTTCCTCGCAGCGAAAGAGGGCTGGTAGCCGTGCTTTTGACGAAGCGTCGTTCGGGATAACGAATGCTCTTTCCCCCCGGTCGCTTCGCTCTCGCGTGCACTTGGCTCGAGACACTACCGTGTCTCTTGATTGTCAATTGATCTCCCGACACGTTCGCTCCCACACGTGCCGCGTATTATTTACATCAATAAAAGCGGATGGGGACGAATGTGTTAATCCTCTGGCGGTAATTCGCTGAAAAAATTTCTCTTCTTCGAGCAGAGGGGGGTGCCTTATTGCGAAACTTCAATTACGACCGGATGTATTCCGGGGTTTGCGACGCTGCGGCAAGCGAGCGGGAGAATCTGTAGACATATTTGCCAATTGCATGAGACAGCCTTTCGCTCCTTTTGCTTTTCTGCTCTCGATACGTCAGACACTCTGAGAGTGTCATCGCGGGTGTTTCAAAATCCCAGAAACACCAATTTCTTCCGCACCGCCATGTGCAGCTTCCCAGCGATGTTTCGCAGCATTTTAACCTTTCTGTAATCTAAAACGTATCTCCTCTTGTTGTTAGTTTTAGTTATTTCAAATATAATTGAAAACATTCCCAATAGAAGCGGAGATTTTAACGGTAAAATTTGGAAAATTTTAACCTTCGATATCTCCTAAACGGTTCAAGATACAGGCACGTTTTTTTTTTGCAACAATATAGTCCTGTATCAACCCTATTCTCACCCTAAATCACGACTCTCTATTCCCAGTAGAAGCGGAGGTATTGACGGTACAATTTGAAATACTTTAACCTTCGATATCTCCTGAACGGTTCAAGATACAAGAACGCGCCTTTGTCTCCTTAAAACGGTATGGGACTTTTATGTCTGTCTCAATCCTATCTACCCTCACACTTCGGGTTGGCAGCTAATTACCGAACACTTCGTATGATCTTCATGATATTAATCATACACAATGTCAATTCTTTTTTTTTGTATATGTTAACATGTTAATTCATGTTATAAACGCGTAACAATATGCGAGATCGTGCTTGTCAAGTACTCTATTATGGTTGTAGCGGCGACATAAACCGCCTGAAAGTGGATGTAGCATGGACTGCCAGCACATGCAGGTTTTACCGCCAAGACTTGAAAGTGGATGTAGCATCGTAGTTCCCCTCTTGAAATGGATGCAGATGGCATCCTTTCCCACTGTGGAAAGTCGGTTAGGTGTCGCCAAATACGCCGCTTCTTAAGCCAGCGGCACACGGTGCTTGTTTTTGTGCTGGATTGCTTGTTGGATGAAAATACTGCGTTCTGATTGGTGCATTTCCATCCATCTTCGGAAATGCACCAATCAGAACGCAGTATTTTCATCCAGCAAGCAATCCAGCACAAAAACAAGCACCGTGTGCCGCTGGCTTTAGGTTCTTCTCTGCTTGAAAATAAAAGATGGCTGATCAAACGTTGAGTTGTACTACCTCGTTTGTTCGTTATGGACAGCAGTGACACGTAGCGGGCATTCAGAAACTAACGACGGTAGTTGAGATTCAAATCATTTGATATATTCTCTTTTCGATTAGTTGAGATAGTATAACTAAAAACGACAGGTCAGAAACATTTTTTTTATTTTTAATTAGTATAATTGTGACGAAATGTACCAGAATTACTTATGTTTCTAAATAGTATAATTCAACAAAGCATTAAGAAGTCACATTTTATTTTCGCATAATACAGCTCAAGGACGAATCGAACAAATTTTCATTCTGCCCGTCTATACAACAATTAAAGTTTTGTCTTTAGAAATAAAAATTTATCCGATTTTATAACAAGCTGAATGAAAGACAACTAGTATTCTTTAGACTAAATTTGAACGAGACATTAAATAAATTCATATGACGAATATCTCTTTTAGATTTGAAAGATCTTGGAATAAAAATTTTAAATCACGCAGATTTTGAATATTTTTTCGCACACAATGTCACGTTTATCTAGTTCATCCACTTCTATTTTTATCTGCTTCAATCCCATAGCATTATTAAGACAAAATTGTTTATACAAATATTATAAATATGAATTGTAGGATGCTGTGGTGATTCTACATGCAAACTTGAAGAATCGTTTGTTTCGGCATTAATATTTATGGCGCAAAATGAGAAAAATAGTTATAGCTAGACTTTCACTTGCCAACTCGGCGAACGCTGCTTCTGTGTCTCGAGGTAAGATGTTACAGGACACCGACACGCACAATTTGTCGCGGGACCATCATCCGTCGTTCTCTTGTTCTCGGTGAAGGGTGCCGCGTACGGCACCGTCAGGTCATTAATCGCCGACCGACTCTCGAGCGATGCACATTCGTGCGTGTAACACGAGTCTCGAAGGCCCTCGTATCCCACGTTAACGGTTGTTCCTTAATGCGACACGGGGAAGGAGACTCGCCTTGAGAAGTCCCGTCGTTTCTTCGAGTGCGGAAGACACGTTAAAAATCGCTCCGCTTATCGAGGATACCGCTTCCGGACAACTGTCATCCAGGGTGGTGTTGTACGTGTACCACTGCCAAGGTGCTGTTCGGAACGAGGAGAGTCCGACCGGCGTAAAATTTTTTCGTTCAAGTGAATAAGTTCCGAGGGGAATATTCTCTTCTAGTTTGGAGAGATCAAGACTGTGCGATAACACAAAGAGCGAAGGTTGTTTCACCGGATTGGGGGATTAAGGCTCCATTCGGGATACAAGTAAGTCTGAGGATTGCGGGCTTTGCTATCGCTTTGTTTTTTACCTCCTTTTAGCTTCTTTAAACTCGTCCTTCCACATTCTTTGCGCCCGGGGTATTTTTGTGACTTAAAATAACCGTGGTGTGCTCGATGGAGGACCCCACTTCAAATTCCCGATATCCCGTAGCGCGTGTCAAAATACTTGAGATTACAAAGGATAGATCCCTGTAAACCACTTGTGAAAAATCTCTTTCTCCCTCATAAAATGTGTTTTGGTAATCTTTCACAAAATAATCTTTCGGCCCTTTTGTGCTTTACGGTCGGTAGAGATGCATATATTGAATATGTACGGAAATGTTTGAAACAAATATTATTAATAATCACATAGTTACAAAATAAACGTTAGGTCGGTGAAAACACATATTTTGAAATATAAAATTATCTAAACAAATGGGGGATGTGCAAAGAAGTATATTCATTATTAAATAGGGCGCAAATGTTGAATTATATGATCAATCGACCGTAGATAATTTTACTTTAACTGAGAAACTTAACTGAAACCTGTTTTAAAATGTGATACGGTTCATTGAATGAATCCCCGAGAGTCAATTTGATAAAGTTTAGGTTTTTCGATAAGTTTCGTATTTCGACCGCGTGTACGAGTTTTAATCAATTCAAGTGCCTACGTAACCTCAAGGAATAATTTACAATATTTAAATTTAATATTACGATATCGTATAAACTCGTCCAGGATGTTTGTCAGTTTTTTTTTTACAAATTCCTTCGAAACATGCGGATTCTCTCGAAAAGTGAATCCCTGTAACGGTAAAACGTAATCTTCACGGTTCAATTCGCGTTGAAGTAAGTTTATCGTGATTTCTGTTCGCGAGTACATTTTCACACTCTTGTATTTGCGTTTCACTGACGGCACGTTGCTTTCGTAATCGAGCCGGAGCAGTCGACAGTTATCTCCTAACATGAAATCGAGACGACATAGAAACGTCAAGTATCGGATTTTATTCGTACGTTGTTTTCACGACGTTAATGTTTGCGTTATAGATTCCGCGCTTAATAAAACGGACCGTACGTTTAGAAAGTAACAAGTTATTGATTCCATTATTTATACGAGAGAGACCTAACGAGTCACTTTCGAACGAGAGTATACTTATTTAAAATGAAAAATTATTTTAATCATTTTCCTCACAAAACTCTCGTTTGTACCGATGCATCGCATCTGTTTCGCGTGGCATTTAGAAAATACTCTCTGGGCTCTCTACGGTGGAATTAATTTCAACACTGCATCGATGTGTAATCTATAACGGGAAGCATGCATATTTTCATCGCACCGATTTCAAAACCCGTCTCGTTACCCTTGAAATATACTCAACCTGCCACAATTAAATGTCATTACTTGACGCAACGTATCGGAAAAATATCCCTTCGTTAACTCGACACTTGTTCTCTTTCCAAGCAGGACGATGGTTGCTTGTTTAGAATTCGATACTGATTCTTGTTTTTCTCTTAGACGAATAACACATACATTAACGATACGATATGAATGAGAAAGCGGATCTCCTCGATAAATAAGTTCTTTTTCTCTTTATTCGCGTCCAATAAATCACTTGTCTTCGTACGTCTTGCACAAAGAAGAAACACACGAGTTGTTTCTCTTGTAGCAGGTTATATGCAGAGAATAAGATTAAGTGACGTCCGAAGGCGGACCGCGCTTTTCATTAGCGATGATACTGGCGCGATGGAATTAATTAATTAATTGGAGATCCGCTAAGAGGCCCGAACGGTATCTCTCGTTTAAACGCACGTCGTTTCTGCGCATGTGTGCGCCGTGGAATCGGCGATAATGACGTGAAAGTGCATCCACACCGTTGCCCCAGAACAATTCTACATTTTGCCCGACCTAAGATCGTGGGAGTAAATTACTGCAAACTCTTCGGCCGATCTAAAGGCGCTGTTCGCGAGATCGCGCGTGGTCGTCTCTTTAAATGTCTCGGCGCGACACCTGTTCGAGATTTGCCGTTACCTGCTGCCGTCGACGTATCGAACGACATAAATGCCACTCACATACATCGTTCATTGATAATTGTACAGCTCCAGAACTATTCCAATGACACGCACGTATTGTGAAGTTACAAACGGGCGACTCGTAGACTCGAGAAGCTGACCCGGGACCCACGGGAGGAATATATAACCGAGAACAATTGATGTTGATTAAAGAATGGCTAGTAAAGTAACGTAACAGGACCTTTTTGTGTCCAGAGAGCTCTCCGGTGTTATATTATTACAAACGTCGACGTACTTTACCCGCGGGAGCCCCACGCAGCAGAAATATTCTAAATATATCGCAAGGATATTCGGAAGATATTGTAATATTCTTAGAATATCTCTCATGTATTTTCTTTACATTTCTTCTGCCGTGTGAGGGACACGGTTCCCGAAACAAAGAAATTGAATCAACACGACCCGCTGGAAACACACCATCCCATTAGAAGTCGCTTTCGGGACGTCGCACCGGTGCACTTATTACGTAGGGGACGATCTACGTAACGGTTTTCACGAGATTTCGATCTTTACGCATAGTTTCACAAAGGAGCGTTGTAGCTAACGAGCCCGAGGGTCTTCTCTGACGAAATATCCTCCTTTTGGAGGAGTGCGACGCATGCTAGTGGCGCATAATCGAGGAGAGTTACCTTCGCAGGCGCCGCAAGAAAAATCCCGCCGAGGAAAAGAGGCCGGTGAGAATCAGAAGAAGCTGAAACCTAATAACAGCCAGAGGCGAGATAACCGACGGAAACGACGATAGCACGCAACAAGACGACGTGCAAAGCCCCGACGACGACAAACACGATCGGTAATCGTAGCCGCGGGACCGCAAGCAGAAGCAAATGAACCGGAAAAGATCAGCGGGAGACACGCAAAGTCGGAAGTCGCAAGAGCGGTACGAACGAGAGCAGGAAGAGACGGACGAATAGGGGAAGAGACAGGCAGAGAGGGAGAGAGGGAGAGAGAGAGAGAGAGAGAGAGAGAGAGAGAGAGAGAGAGAGAGAGAGGAGAATCAGGGTAGATTGAGGGACAGGCGTCCTTGCTCCGGACTAGTCCGTAACTGTGCTCTCGCGCTCACGGGCGCCGTGGAGAACCGGTAATGACGTGAAAGTGCATCCACGAGCGAGAAGGCAGGCAGCGAGCGAGTAAGCAAGCAAACAGGCAGGCAGGCAGGCAGGCAGGCCACCGTTCTCCTAGCAGTCTCGCCTCGTCCAGGACAATCCCCTGGATCGCGGTTGGCCCCGTAGCTGGAGAAATTGTCTGCCTCACGACGATCAAAGTGCTCGCCTGACCGAGGTGGCGAACGTCTCGTTCGCCGCGCGATCGCTCAGTCGCCTCCTTTCCTCGAGTGCGTTTTCGCCGCAGCTGCGACCCGACCCAGCCGGCTCGCACCTGCGATACTTTCGACACCGGCGACACGTGTGTGCTCGAGACGGTGTTTGGCTTTTCTCCCCCCCCTCCCCCTCCGACGACAAGGGTAGGAAGTGCGCGTCTCGTGACCGCGCGGGACGATCCTACGGAGGATTCTGTGAGAAACCGCGCACAGTGCTCGGCCCACCGGCTTTTCCGCCGATCGGAGTGATTGTGGTAACCTCGTCCACCACGTTGGATAATTCACGCACGGGTAAGGGGATGGATCCACCCCCGTTGTCGCATTTCCCCGCGAAGTCCGGATGCTCACGTATGGCGGGGTGAGAGTAAACATGCGGGACGCTGTCGTGTGGTGTGTAACTTATGCACGTTTTCATGAGTCTCATTTCGAATTCAGATGAAATCCGAATCGTCCGAGGCGGATCTCAATTTTATGATAATATCGGGACAACATGTCTGACGGATATCAGATTTATGGACGGACATTTCGGGTTTGTAAAATGAGAAAGTATACGCTGCGGCGTCAAGTGTGACAGTATTATGTGAAAACTTTCACTCCTCTGATGATCCGGAAAAAAAAAGTAACATTGAAGAACCGAGATCAACGACGCGGCAGATTAAAACGGCAAGATTGGAAGATTGGTTATTGCCTTAACGAGAGAAGAGCGTACGCGGATTCCATGAAATAGATATGATTTAGGAGCTCTAAACTTATCGCATTACTTCTGCTCGTTACAACCTGAGTGTTTTATACATGAGAGTCGACATCGGCATCTAATCTTGCGTGGAACTTGCGTAGAATTCTAATTCTCATTCTTTTTCATGGCTCATTCGATCCGTATGTCGGACCACAATTTTTATCTCGAGGTCACTGTGACGCACGATGTGCTCTGAAATTAAAATGAGGCCGATGTGTGTGACACGAGTGAAGACTCGGGTCACTTACTTCTTCTCTCGACATCTCACAGACCGAGGATTGCATAAATACGTTTAGAAATCCTAAACGCAACAATTACGTCGCACGCACTTTTCAAAGTTTTACATAAACATTTGAGTCACTCTTTGCCGCTCAACCGCGAAGTATTACGTCGAGCTGACGGGTGCCTTTTTTCGCGCACGCTTAAACATATTATCCAAACGTGTGCCGCGCGCATAAGTAGCTTATCTATCGGAAATATGATCAATAATTTATTCTGCAATAAATATCTATTATTTTGTACGATAACATCAAGTTTTAACATGCAAATGTTCATACGAATATTTCCGTTCACGTGTTAACAGAGGCGTCACTTCTCCTCGCCAAATTTTCGTCTTTATATATAGTTTCTTTCTTTTAATCGCACGAAATGAGGTTTTCTCTCCGTGTGCTAAAATAGAATTTTTTATGCTCGTCAGTATAAGGACCGCTAAACTGATCATCATTTCCGAATGAGCAGATATTAGTTCGGAAAATTAGTCCACAGAGTCCGCAGTATATAAAGGCGATAACATTCTTCGCTTCGGGTCGACTGACCCGAAAACAGCCATTTGCACAGAGCGGTGTACCGGGACTTTCGACTGTAAAACGCTTGTATCGTTTACGCGTTTCACCGCGATGCGCGCGTTCGGCAAATTGCCCGTCGAAACGGCGACCCGTAGAGCGCCAGCACTTCCTAGAAAATAATTGCGGTAATTTCATTTTAAGTACCCCTCCTTCACAGGAGCGGCCATCTACGCTCGGAAAAGAGAAGCAAGCGAGAGGCGTGAGGGAAGAAATGCGCTTTGATAACCCCCGCCGTCGCGGCTGCTGAGATCCGCTGAAACAGATCGCAAGAGACCGAAAGAGACCAAATCGTCATCCCCGAGTGGTCATCCGAAGTCATCGCGGCGAAGACACGCGCGCGCTCCCGAGGCAGCGAATTCACGATGATCCTCGCGGCTGCCGCGGCCAGCCGAGTCCTGGGAGAGCGCTGATGAAGCGCGCCAGCAACAGCGGGCAGAAAAAATGACCGTCGCGATGGAGCACAAGCGGAAGAGCTCGTGGGATTCGAAGGTGAGAGATTCGTATATGTGGCGCACTTTCCCTCGCCGTGTCGCGAGTGCGTGCTTTCTTCATTACGCAGGCGCGTCATTAATTAGGGAGCGTGGCCCCGTGCGAAAACGTCAAGCGGCTAAAGTCGAGTAACGAGCCGAGCGGAAATGCAAAACGTCACTGCGACGAATTGTTCGTCGCGGCGATGAGAGACGCGAGCGACGGAGCGTCGCGCGCGGGACACTTTCTAGTCTCTCTCTCTCTCTCTCTTTCTTCGGCATCGATCTTCGAGTCTGAGACTCGAGCGCGACTCGCAACGTTCCAACGCGCCTCGAGATGCTCCGAGATAAAGGTGAACAACGCGTGCGAACAACAGTCCGAGCGTGCACTTTCGAACGCGTTGTGAACGTAAACTTCACAAAGGCACGCGCGCGCGCGCGCACACTTTCTTCATTTGATCCCGCTCGCTTGGAGCGGTCTTATCGATCTGATTAGAAACACTGCGCGAGCAGAAAACGCGAAACGACGCTATGCCGCCTCCTGAGTGCTCCTTCGGTCTGGAGTTTCATGAACGCTCCGCGAACAATCATACTCGGGGAATAAGATACCCGCCCCCTCGGCTATCATCTGGAAATAATCGCGGGCGCTGCGGGCGGTCGCGGAACAATCGCGGGATGAAAATAATCGCTCTCCCATGACTCTCGCTACGTCGGGCTTCCTCCAGCCGCCGCGGGCTCGTACGAATTCGACGTACGAATTCGCTCGTGACGCGGCCGCGAGAAAACGCGCGCGCGCGCGCGGCTTCTGATAGTTTAATTAACTCCTCGCGCCGGCATTGTACTATTTTTCGTTCGCGCGCGAATTCTCAGCGCGACTAATTCCGTTCCCGGAGATGAGAGCGCCGCCGCGCGCGATCCACCGGCCGCCGAGAAACGCGACGTCCTTTCCAGCGAATCGCGCGGCACCGCGCCGTCGATAATTACGGTGAAAGTCGCGCATCCACGAGCGCGCGCGTTCGTGCGCTCGTGCTTCGTCCTTCGATTAATTTCCCCGATTATTTCCCCCGCGTCCTGTCGCGCGCTGCTGAGGCCGCCGGGAGGCTAACGGGCTCGTCGCGGGGAGGGACTCACCTTGAACTCTCCTGCAACGTCGACGTCGAACTATCGATACTCCCGAAAGTCCTTACGATTTCTCGATCCCGCCTATTTGTTGAACGTCGCGCTGACAAGTATTATGATATTACCGTTTCTGAAAATCGCCAAGAATTGACGGATAGAAAGTCGAGAGATGAAATAAATATATTTCGAATTATATTGTTTTCTCGTATTTTTGGTTTCATTCAATCATTAGTCGAGCTTCCGTACAATGAATGAAAGCAAATACGACAGTCGACAATTAAACGCGAATATATTTGTGAATCGCGCGACAGAGCGTGTAGAACACGTCGTTAACGACGTCGTTAAAGAACCAAAATAATCGGCACGGGGGGGGGGGGAGAGGGAGAAGGCATCGTTAAATCTCGCCTTTCCCGTCGTTACCGTTCGACAAACGTCTTCGCGTACGTCTTCTTATTCCATGAGATGACTCTGCAAGAAGAAACCATCAACGACGACGAGTCATTCTCCGAAAACTGTCGTCACTCATGCGAAATTTTTCGTCCTCAGGAGGACGAGGCTGGAATTTCTGCGTTTCTCGTGCGTTCCAAATGATCGTCGACTTTCGATGGAAACGACCATGTCTAATTCGCGCGATTTCTTCGCGTCGCCAATTTCGACACAATGGGCGTCGCGGTCACGCTCGCGCGCGACTAATTGTGACACGCTTCTTGGTCCACCCTTTGTGGCGGCGCGTCTGGCTGGCACGTATCCATCTGCTTTTCATCTCCAGACCGATTGACCTTGTTCTCCAATGACCCCGAGCCACGCATGCCGCCGGATACGTACGCACGCGGCAGCGGATTGACGAAGAACTAGGCTGACCGGAATGGAGAACGATGCGTTAGGTGGGTTGGGTCGCCTGGGTTGGGCCGTCGTCATCTGCTCTATTCCCGATACCGTTACTTCACGAACACCCGATCGCGCTTGGTATTCTTAAAGGTAGCGCGCTTGTCGCTGTCTCGTCGATCAAGCTTGAACCGCGAGCAGCGGCGGTAATCGATCATCGCTCTCGGCTGGGATTCACCATCGAGAAGTGTCTCGTCGATGATCTCCTCGTACACGTGTCGCTCTTCCTCGCTATTCGCTCGACGATAAAACATTCGTCGGACGAATGTACACCAGATGTCGCACATGAGTCTTCGCATTTGCATACTAGGATTTCCTATGATTTCCGAGCGTACACTTTGTGCAAATGTGTAAGGTTGTGCCGGTTTGGAACCTTTATTGGAATATTCAGATATTCCACAGGGTGTTCCATTTTAAAGGACCCACTCGAATTTCTCAGAAACACTGCGTTAAATCGAAAAATGCTCGAGACAACAGTTGTTTAGCTTGAAGGACAGCGATAGCATTTTGTTTACAGATGGCTCCGTCGTCGAGATATTTATTGATTATCAATTTTCTTAGATGGAAATCCACAGTTTTTATTATATCATCTTTTTCTACCAATTAATTTGAACAACTTTTGTCGGGAACATTTTTCTATTTGCTTAATATATTTTGAGATATTTAAGGAAAACTTGGTAACTTTGCCAACATTTACCTTACGATATCTCGCTAACTATTCGTCGAAAGAAAAAATAGTATTAGACTTTGTTGCTTTATTTACTATCGAGAATATGGTACTATAATAGTGTCCTAACTTTTATTAAATTAATAATTTTGAAATTTCCAAAGGTCGATAAGTTAATAAAAGTTAGGGCATTATTATAGTAATATATTCTTGATAGTAAATAAAGTAAAAAAGTCTAATACTATTTTTTCTTTCGACGAATAGTTAGTGAGATATCGTAAGGTAAATGTTGGAAAAGTTACCAAGTTTTCTTTAAATATTTCAAAATATATTAAGCAAATAAAAGAATGTTTCAGACAAAAGTTGTTTAGATTAATTGGCAGAAAAAGACGATGTAATAAAAAACTGGAATTTCTATTTAAGAAAATTGATAATCAGTGAATATCTCAAAAGTCGCGCCATCTATAAACAAAATGCTATCGCTGTCTTATGTCCTCCTTCAAGCCAAACAATTTTTTGTCTTAAACATTTTTCGATTTAACAATTTATGTGTGTGTGTGTGTGTGTGAGATACACACACTTGACGCGAATAGTATCAATTTTTGTTTTCCCTTGGAATATACAAATATAATTTCATTACAACCATTATTGTTAACATTGAGCATACCCGCGTACGCGGGTGTGTACGTAGTTGGAAAATTTTAATATTCAATCAAAATATGGAAAAATATTGAAAAATTGCATTATCCAATCTGAGCGTGTTTCTCAGCGAACTTTACAGCCTTTAAACTAGACATTTTTTTTTACGCGTGTCGGAAAGTAGATTAGTGAAAAGTACGAGAGTGCCCGCGTTGTAAAGATTAAAAATCAAAGGTGTACCTTTCTCGAGAGACGACATGTTTGGCTACGTCACTGGATCGACTCTTCGTGAAATTTAATGATTTAACAGGCTCGAGACTCGAGAGTACCGAAATAACTAAGCGAAAAAAGCTTGCCGACAAGGGATAATGGTTTGTGGATAGAATAACAAGTCCGCTATCATTTTTCACGACCGCTTTTTGCCGAGGACATAGAGATGTGTTCCAGGAGTTGAGTCACCGCGTGGTGACGGTGTGACCGAGTGGATTGTAATTTAAGACGGTCAGAGAGACTCGTTCCTAGATTCTTGCTCTTTTGGAAAGGTGGCCTGTCATTTGGTATAACGGTAATAACGGTCAAGAAAGCCACGAGAGAACAGTAGTGGCTCGAATGTCGGTGCTATAGATTCTTTCCAACGGTCACTGACACTGACTCTCATCGCAGTTTGACACTCGGCCAACTGTGTTCTGTCTGGCTACAGCGACTTCGTCTTCTTCTCCTTTATTTGACTTTCGTGTCGCCGTTACTCCGTGCATACGCGATTGATTCTATTTGCGTAACGACATGATAAAACCGCGTGCGCGGAAACGCATACGCGACGGAGTGATTTACATTCATTACGAATCGTTACCCGGCAAGTCTTGTGTGAAAAGCCATTTTCGCGGGAGAGGCGCGAAAAGCCAGAGCGAGCCGCATTCTTGTTGACACAAATGGGTCGGTGCGACAATTGGAACGCTGCGAGATATTCCCGTCGCGTTTGAATGAAGAAATCACCGGCTAGACCGGAAATAAAAAATGACGAAAAGAAAAGAAATCAGGAGCTGCGCGCTAGAATCGCCAAAGTTTCGCGGCGAGACGCTTCTTAGCGAGTCTTAACCGTGACCGATCAGTTTGGATGATTCTCCAAACGATTGTGCAGAAACGTCTTTATCGCGCGAGACTCCGCATGAGGTTTCTCTCTTTACACGGTCACGAGCATGGTAAATCTAACGCGTTTTCTCGTTAACGAAGCAGACGTAATTCCTCGCCACTGGCGGAGCGACTCGCTCGAGATCGCTCGGCAACGTTTTCAACGTTCATTACGCACCGGTGGTTTATTAGCGAGACCCGTTCTAGCGGAACCAGAGGCAAAGATGCGGGAGCCCGCGCGCGCGTCTGAACTTTCACGAAAGTATCCGCTCGTGGAAAGCGCTTTTCTATAGGCGAGGTCTGATTTCCCACCTCCGCCCGGCCTTGAAGTCATTGACCGCGCCTATTAACGGAAGAACTCGAAACGCTCGCCAGTCCGAGCGTGTCATAATCTCTTCCTGCAATCGCTACCCGCCCAAGCGCTGCGTTTATCCGCACTGAATTCTACTTTCCAATCTGGTGCGTCCAAGATCGGATCAGCTCGTCTCAAGCGCGAAACGGCTCATTATCGAGATCGGCATGAAACTCACAACTGCGGTCAACCGCATCCATTTACCTAACATCTGCATTCGCCGCCTCCCCGT